TTCTTCGTCCTCTCCTCTCCAATATCCTCTCTCTCGTCTGATCTCATTTCCTCTCCTCTCGCCTCATTTGTCTACTATCTAGCTATCTATTTCTCGCTCTAAGGACGCCTCGCTATACTCAATGTTGGTGCTCTTATCGCTCAGGCACGTAACAATGTTATAATTAATTAATCGTATTTATCAGGAGTAAGCAGATATGAATGAGAGGAAGGGCTATAGCTGCTGGTGATTATGTAATTTCCCACTCGCCATGTGGAGAGCTAGGGACAAGAGCTTATCAATGATCACTATTATAAGCTCTTTGGCTATGGGGGCGGGGAGGATACAGACGTTATACACACAGACACTTGACCGCTTCCGTTATAAAGAAATAACGTGCGATTTAGACGACTATCCAGGAAATGTTCTCTCCCCCGTCCTCCCCTCTCCCCATCTCCCCTCTCACTCTCCCTAACTTCCCTCTCTCCCCTTCACGCGTGGTTTACCTTTTGCTCTCACTCTTCCGCTTTCACCGGTTCTCCCCCCCTTTCTCTATCCCTGTCTCGCCCTCTCCCTAATTCTCTCTCACACACACACGCGCGCGCACATACACACATGTACAAACAAACAAACAAACAAGCACGCACACACAGTCAATCACACACACACACGCCACACACACACACCACACACACACACACACACACCACACACCACACACACACGCGCGCGCGCACAACACCACACACACGCCGCGGCCGCACAGACCACAACACACAACACCACACACAAACACACCACACACACCCAGTCACACACCCATGCCTGCTCGCGCCAGGGCCCCCCTTCTATATAATGCGCTGCTGCAGGGGCACCAATTTTCCAATCCGTTTTTAGGTCTCATTTGGCCCCTCTGCGACTCAGATGACGCTCGGAGGTCAAATCCCATATGGTGTCCATGACATTCAGCATCAACAATTTACCCCTACTTGAATGTCTTTGGACGTTATTGGACCTAGAGTGCTCCAATCGTTGATTGCATTTGCGAACAGAACAAACAAACAGACCGATCATTCAGCAATATGTAATTAGATAATCATATACTATCCACCTATATATTATATATATACCTATATACTAATATAATAATACCTATATAATATATATTATATGTATAATATATTTGTATATATATATATATTGCTTGTGCGAATCATCATCAGCTGTAACTGCGACGGCCGAGCGGGACGCGTTCAAGCAGACGACTCTGGTATAATTATGAGAGCGAGGCTCACCTCCGCCTGAGACGTCACGCACCACGTCATCGGTCGCTGTTACATCGCGGCGCGGCGTCGAAGCGACAGCGACGGATCGCGAAAGCGTGACGTAATTGATGCACGGTAACTACCGTTAAACTCGCAAGCTCTCTTTGCGTTGCGCAAGTCGCTGTGGCGGCCATCCTTTCATGCCAATTTCCAACGATCCGTGTTCGGAGTTATACACGCCTGCGCGCTACAGACCACCACTAACTAACGCCAATGTCCCTTGGTAAAGAATACTCCGCATCTCATACCAAATACTTGCAGAGTGCCTTCCTAACCATATTAACCACAAGCACGTAAACCTAAAGCAAGTCCCTCCGAAACTGCTACTTATCACAATCGCGCACCGTAAAGCAAATCTTAGTAAAATAATCAAGCTCAAAGGCTGTACCAACTATTGTCTGCTACCCTACTTACTCTAACCGCTAACTAGAGCAACCTCTCTCGCGTTACAAATAAAGTTTAGCATGTATGCCAACATACGTCGCCGACTATATCCATAATATAATACATATGTATCCTAAACGGTCGGCAGGCTGCATCGGTAGACGCCCTGCGTAACAACAGCAAACCCCTGCTAGCGCCCATCAGTAAAACAAATATTTGTAAAAAAAAAATTTCGGCG